CCACCAGGAGCCTTTGCCATCGCTGCCCGGTGGCTGCAGCACCCGGTCCCCGGGAGTCCCCCATGCGCTGGGTGTCCCCGGGGCCGTGCCAGCTCACGCGCCCGTGACGTCCCCACCGAGCCTGGCACCGCCCCATCCTCTCCCCGAAACGGAGAGGGGGACCCCCCCCACCGCAGCCAGACGTGACAAGCGCTCCCCCAAAATGGCTTGTGAAGAGAAAACCTCCCCTTGCACCAGGCTGCTGGGGCGCTGGGTCAGCCCCGTCCTCTGCGGCCACACATGGAGGCACCCTGTGCCCTGCTCACCCCGGGCAACCCAGTCCCCAAAATCACCCTGTGCCAGCTGCAACGGGAGCTGTGGCATGGGGGTGCCCAGGAGGGGGTGGGAGGGCTAAAGCCAAGGTGACAGCAAATACTGACATCCCTCCATGTGCCCCACCTGCCCTGTCCATGGACGATGCCCCGAGCAGCGTGGCATCCCCTTTGGCCACCCCCGTTTCCCGCAGAGGGGGGCACAAACCAGTGCCCACCCCAGGGGGGGGCACAGCCTGTGCCGAGCCCCCGCCGTGCCCACCCCAAGCCCGTGCCGTGGGTGGCGGGAGGATGTGGGGGGAGGATATTGGGGGGAGCCAGCGGTGCTGTGTCCGTACCTGCAGCCTGGCCATGGCGGTGGCCGGCCAAGGTGCCCCCCAGCCGGCTCAGGGGGTGCGCGGCATCGCCGGGACCGCCGGGTGCGAGGGCAGGGAGGTGGGAGAGAAAAGAAGAGAGAAAGAGAAAAGAAAAGCGGCCGAACACATCCTCTCACAGGAAAGGGAGTGGTAAGGGAAGTGGCAAACTCAACCGAAGAGTTCAGACCTTTTTTGGGAAAGCCCCGGCGGGGCCCGGCAGCTCTCCTTGCCGCTCCGCCGTGGGGCGGCCACCCCGGTGGGGCAGGAGTGGGGCAGAGAGAGCCCCCGCCGGTGGCAGAGCTGGGTCATGCTCCTGCTTCCCACCCCTTGGCCGGATCCAGCGACCACCCCAGCCCCACTGGGGCTCCCCGGCCAGGACAGGCACCCAGTGTGGTGCCAGGGACCACCGAGCATCTCGCAGACAGCCCGGGCACAGCGGCGCTGGAACAGCCCCGTGGCCAAGGAAGTGGCCAGCGTGGCATCCCCCAGGAATGCCGGGCAGGATGCATCCCCAAAGTGGTCCCCGGTGACCACTTCGAAGGGACGGTGCTTTCCGCCCCACCAGGTCACCCCGGGGCTCCGGCAGAGGTTGGGGGGAGGATGCTGGAGGTGAGGGAAAGGGGGCCGGTGCCCGAGGGTGGGCTGAGTCAGAGCCTCCCGCCGCGTGGCATCGTCCCCGCCACACCGGGATGTGCCAACCCGCCCGCCACGTCCCTCGGCCAAGAGTGACTCACAAACAAAGTTGGTTGGGTTTCTTCCCCCCCCTCCTTCTTCAGAAAATAAAAAAAAAAAAATAAAAGAAGAAAAAGAAGAGAGAGAGAGAGAGAGTGAAGGGACGGTGCTTTCCACCCCACCAGGTCACCCCGGGGCTCTGGCAGTGGTTGGGGGGGAGGATGCTGGAGGTGAGGGAAAGGGGGCCGGTGCCCGAGGGTGGGCTGAGTCAGAGCCTCCCGCCGCGTGGCATCGTCCCCGCCACACCGGGATGTGCCAACCCGCCCGCCACGTCCCTCGGCCAAGAGTGACTCACAAACAAAGTTGGTTGGGTTTCTTCCCCCCCCTCCTTCTTCAGAAAATAAAAAAAAAAAAATAAAAGAAGAAAAAGAAGAGAGAGAGAGAGAGAGAAATCAGATGCCCAGCCTCGTTTCCTTGATTAAATTTGCCCTCAGCATCGCTGCGGGCAGAGAGGGCTCCAGCCCCGGCACCACACCAGTGACCGAAACCAGTTTGTGGTCTCTGCTGGTGGCTGCCCCATCGCTCGTGTGGGCTTGCCGCAGGTGGAAAAGGGGAAAAAAGGGGAGAAATGGGGAGGAGGAGGGCAGAGGGGGTGCCAGCACCCCCTGCATGCTCCCCCGGGGCTGGGCCAGGCGCCCAGCCATGGCATGTGCCCCGTTATCAGCCCAGCCCAGCGCCGGCCTCTTCCCTCGCCTTCCCCGGGGGGGCTGAGCTGTTATCTCCCCTCTTCCCAACGCCACACACCCCGGCACCCAGAAACCAAGGCGGTGGCACCGCTGCCATCCCCATCCAGATGGAACACCCCCCTCATCCCTGTCACCCAAAAGTCCCGCTCCCCTTTGGCAGCCCCTCTTCTCCTGATGCCCACCCCACCGTCACCACAGCACCGACGGGGCTCTGTTTGCTCTGGTCACCTCAACCTCATTGATTTTCCAGATGGTTTTCCAGGATTCCCTTTGCTCCAAGAGCCAGGGATTGCCAGGATGCAGCCACGCTCCCACTGGGGAGCCCCCAGCACCCCCAGCTCGCCCGCCTCGGGGTACCCACCGCCAGCGAGGATATTTTTATCCTCCAGGATAAAAGGACCCCCAGGAGGGACCTTCCCTTCATATTTTATGGGTCAAAACCAGGAGAGCAGGTTTGTAGCTCAGCACAGACCCCCGCAGGGATCACTCGGCCGGGGGTGATGCACAACCCCCCCCCCCCCCCTGG